GGAGCTCCTCCTCGTGGCTCTGTCGGCTCTGCGCAGCACCTGGTGTTGGCCCTTTCACCGCTTACGTGGCCATTGAGTGCATATTCCTTCGTGTTCCTCAGACACCTCATTGTATGGAAATGCTCACATTTTTAATTGGAGAAATTAATCATTGAAGATATGGTTTTCAATAAGTACAAGGTATGGCTATCACAAATTATTCTGGTAACAGCTACTATTAATAACTACGGTTTGGTATCAGCTCTGCTGCTTGAGAGGGAGAAGAGCTTGAAGCACCAGATGGAAGATGAAAGCCCAACTTGAAAAACCCCAATTATAATGAACCGGTGATGTGCTGCTGTTCACCAGAGACCAATATCAAACTGAATTTTGTGGCCTAGCAGTTCAGCAAGCTAACATTCTGTGAAATATTTCATTGACATGTACATGCATTCACATGCACACACACATATGTACATAATGGTACGTGAAGGAAAATGAATCCTTTGTTTCATGTGAAATTACACAGTGGGATTCCCAACTTGGCTGACAGTTTGTGAGACAGAACAGCCTCTGTCTTGTTCCCTGGTACTTTCACAGATTATCATGCCATCACGAAAAACAGAATGGTATTTTTTTCTGGCATGTAATACAAAACAAAGGTGATCTTTGTCTTTTCAAACTGGAAAAGAAGCCACGGTTTTCATCAATACATGTTGAGGAGCCATGGAGAAGACCAAAAAAACTCCCTTCACAGCCAGCCGCGCCTCTACTTTGCCAGGCTGGCACAAGGGCCTGGCGTGGGGCAGCTGCTGGACCCAGAGCAGGACGCGAGCGGGAGCCGGTGAGGAAGGGGCCGCTGTCAGCAGATGGCACCAGCGCACTGAGGGCTGCTCTGCTCGCACAGCCGCTGGGAGCTAAGGGACACACGGTGCAGAGCTGCTTTATTTGGGAATCGGACTTGTTTTGCAGAATTGGAACATGAAAAGCAAACCGAACTGAATTAATAGGCTGCAGTTTAAGTAGAGGCAGAATACTTTGACACCTACACGATACAGGTAAATGTCCTGTGGACCATCACTGGTTCATTCAACTGTTCCACCTGAAATACAAACGGAGCTGCCTTTGGCTGCAGAATTTCTCTCTCTTGCTGTCTGAATGATACATGCAATGATTACTGCATTTCTGGATCAGGAAACAATACCATTTGTACCGTTTGGCTTTTATTTTATGGCAGATTGTGATGCCGCTTTGCTGAAGCTTACACAAACCCTTGCTCAGTTCCTGCCAGCGAGAGCACCCGTGGTGTGCGTTCCTCTGCATACAGGGTTGTACCGCAGGGATCCTGCAGCCTCCCTCACGGCTGAACTCTGGCGCTGGTGCCAGCGCTGTACATGTGTGGTTTTAAATGGCAGAAGATAGAAGAGACAAAAATAGTGGCTTTAAGGAGGCCGGAAGGAAAATATCCATAATACTAGAAATTGTGTGGGTTGAAACACCCAGCAATGAGGCTAATGGCAATTTTTCTGAACAGGTTAAGTTAGCAAAATATGGCATTTATGTGTTTTATATCCTTCTGAAGGTGGGATTTAGTAGCCTCTCAAATCTTTTAAGCACCTCTTGTCGTTTACCCTGGTGTGGATTTGCAGGCTAACGTACTGCTGAGAAAAGGCAGCGTTGCTGACACAACAGCTGCAGCGATGGCACGAGCCCGTGAGTTTCTTCCCTGTGTGTGAAAACCAAAACAGTCGCAGCAGACTCTGCTGGAACAGTTCATTTCACCTGGACCTTGCCCAGTGCTTCCTCAAGAGCGAAGGTATTTGCCTTTTTGCTGAAGGAAGTGCAGGAACATAAATATATACAGGGATAAATATTTTTTTTCAGAGGTGCATTTCATTTATGCATGAATTTTAGTCGTGTTGTGCACTTTAAATTCAGAATTAACAGCTTAAGGATTTTTTGCATTATCTTCTAAGTTTTTTTACCAATATTAGCTTAAGATTCCTGGGAGAATCTAATGGCACTTTATATCTGTCTTCTAATGGCACTTTAGTTCTGTCTGTTCATCATCATCTTTATTACTGTTATTAATTTTATTATAGTTATTGTTTTATCCCCTGAGGGTCTCTTGTTTTGGGTTACGGGAAGCACTGTGGTAGGGAGGGTGCATGGTGGTGTGTGACAGTGCCTGCTGCCTTCAAAAAACCAACACGAGACTGGGTGTATTTGCACAAGCAGAACAGAAACTTTATTATGCAGGTTCTTTTGTAAGGAAACTATGAAGCTACTGACAGAAAACAGACTTGTCAACTCCCACCCCGAAAAGGGAGAGTGAAGCTGAGGACAGCCACCAAGCTGTTGCACATTCTTGGGTTACATTCTCGTTCAAGGGGATTTCTCTTAGCATTGGCTGTGGTGCAGGCTGGCTCTGTGTGGTGTCACACGCCAGAGGACATCCAGTGTTCCTTTACGGGAGTCTCCTGTCACGAGTAGATGTTGATCTTCCATCTTCTTCCAGGCCCACGCGGCTTCTGCCACCCAGAGATGCTGTTGGAGGAGGAAAAAAAAATCAACAAGGGAAAAGAAAGGCACTGCAAAGGCCTGGCAGAGCTGCATGATGGATGGGGTTTTGTTTGCTTCGTCACGAGATCTTCTCACACATCAAAGGGGAACTGCCCTCACATCTCATCTTCCATCCCTGCTGGCCCACATCCAGCACGTATCACATGTCAGGTTTAGGTGTGTCTTGTACTTTATGGACTTAGGAATCTTTGGGAGATTCCCATATTTTAGAATCCCATGAGGAGTTCATGCAGTCATTTTAGCAAGCTACTGGTTTCAAAAGTGCACATAAAATAAGAGAAAGTATGCTGTTCTTTTCTCTAAATGATAAAGGATGTGGTCATTGCAGAGACAATATAATGTGTGTTAGTAAGAAGAAATCCTAAGCAAAAAGATAGGTCTATTCAATCCTATTTTGTTAATTCATTTCAGCCCCTCTTTAAATCAAAATTTTTCTTACCATCCTTAGGGTTCACTCCTAATATCCTGTAGAAAAGAAGAAATATTTGGTTACTGACCATCCCCAACCCTGAGACCATTGATCCGTGTGAACAGCCATGATTTCACACTGCTGCTGTCAGGGGGTTGTTCTCAGGTAACTATTGTGTTATTGTGTTATTGTTCAGGTGCTTTCTGCTCTGAAGGCCACTCCTGTGTGCTCAGTGGGAAGTACCAACGCAGTCAGACCAGTTCTTGGCCCTGTTGTGTCTTTGTGTGCTTCTGTCAAAATGTCAAAATCTAGAAATGATGGAATGAGCTGATTCCTCCTCAGAAATAAAAGTAATTCCTTGTGTAGATCAGGTACTAGAAATGAGCACTAAAATGTAGCCTGTGCTAAAGCTGTGGTCGGTACCAAGTTCTTTTCTAGCTGAGAGTACTGGTGTAGGATGATGGATATTTTCACCTCTGTGCACAAGTGCAGAAAACCAAGAGCTAAAGAAATACTGAGAACAGGTTTTCATGGGTTATTTCAGGTTATTATTATGTAACACACACATATGGTGCCTGGCACCTTCTGTAATTCATCGTGATCAAAACGTTGCATTTGCATTTTCAAATCATCAGCTCAACTGATCTGGAGATTTAGCCTAAGTTACAGCAAGGTCTGGGCCTTTGCTGGGCTCTGTTTTGCCAGGACTCAAAAGGCTGCGTGTGCAGTGAATGTAATTTAGTAACGTGGAGTCATGGCAACCACAGATTACAGCTTCACAACGTGTCGTGATGTTAGCCTTATCTCATCATCGCAGGATTTGTGTGCAGTAACGTACTGAGAGTCTTGGCCCTCCAGCAGATGGCGGTACGTGGCGATCTCCTGCTCCAGGCGGCTCTTGATGTCCATGAGCATCCTGTAGTCCTGGTTCTGCCGCTCCATGTCGCAGCGCAGCTCGGCCAGCTGCTCCTCCACGCTGGTGATGAGGGCCTGGATCTGAGCCAGCTGCGCGCAGTACCGGCCTTCTGTATCCCGCAGGTTGGCTTCCAGCCCGGCTTTCTAAAGCAGAGAAACATCAGAACAGGTTAACGTGCAGCTGGGTCTCAGCGAGGGGTGAGACAGAGTGGGAGGAAGGGGCGAGTGTCCTCGCAGCGACTTGGGTGTGCCCGGGACAGCTCCGTACCATGCTGAGCTGCGACTGCAGCTCAATCTCCAGGCCCTGGACCGTGCGTCTCAGTTCTGTGATCTCCGATTTGCCGGTCTGTATCTGTTGTGTGTGGGTGGCTACTTCACGGTTCAGCTCATCAGTCTGCGAGAAAAAAACATCTGTAAAATCACGTACATCTTGTATAAAGATCTTTAAAAGATCTTTAGAGAAAGGCAGGGCACATCCCATCTGTTGGGGCAGCAATAGTGAGGCAATGCATCGGCGTGCTGCGTATCAGCGTGACTGTACCTGAGTGAAGAACCAGGCCTCGGCGTCTTTGCGGTTCTTCTCAGCCAGAGCCTCGTACTGTTCCCTCATCTCAGAGAGGACCCTGGTCAGGTCGATGCCGGGAGCAGCGTCCATCTCCACGTTGACCGTTCCACTCAGCTGGTTGGAATACTCCTTCATTTCCTGCATGGGCAGAGGGCAGAGGACACAAAAAAGATGAGGCTCTCTCTTCCCGTATGCTTTCTGCCACCAGCAATCCATGTGGTGGTACACAGTACAGTAATTATTAAGTACCGTAGGCAGAATGCACATATCGAATGTTATCTCTCATTGCACATGCTTGCTTCTTTCTGTATACTCACACACATAATAAATGTAACATGTGTGTTCCTTTTACTCAGCTTTACTACCTCAGTGACCTACCATGCGCCTATGAATGTCAGACTGAAACTAACAGGTGTGAACAGTTTGAAATCGGAGAAATGCTCCTCAGGACACGCTTAAGATTCTTTTGTTATTACTTTTCTTCTAATTAAGCTGCAATGTTGTCATTCTGGGCTTTTTGTTTGGATTTTCCCCTCCCCACCCGAGAGGCACAAACTCTGAAGGGAAGGGATTTCCTCTCTGCAGCGTTAGGGGCTCTCACCTCCTCGTGGTTCTTCTTGAGATAGGCCAGCTCCTCCTTCAGGTTCTCGATCTGCAGCTCCAGGTCAGCCCTGGCCAGGGTCAGCTCATCCAGGACCCGGCGCAGGCCGTTGATGTCGGACTCCACGCTCTGGCGCAGGTACAACTCATTCTCATATCTGCGGTTTGAAAAAGAAACAAGAGATGTACGAGTTTGTATTCAGCAGAGCTGTAAAAACATGAAATGCTATACTGAATGTCGGAATCATCACACTGATTCTGTTTGCCAGGGTTTTTCACATCAAGTTATCAAGGAAAAATGCCTATCATAAGTTTGAAATGTGTCCCTCGGTGGCTGAAGAACTCTCTTTTCTAGATGGAAGTAAACGAAACAGGAGAAAACTGTTTTGAGAGAGAGGGTGGGGGAGAGAGAAGGCAAATGTGCTCCGGGTAAACTTACTTCAGTCTGAAGTCATCCGCAGCCAGCCTGGCGTTGTCGATCTCCAGAATGACGCGGGAGTTGTCAATGGTAGCTGCAAGGATCTGGCAAGTAAGAGACACAGGAAAAGGTTCCTGTGAGTAATGGTGAAATATCACAGTCCCGAGCACACAGGAGGTGGTTTCTGAGGCTGTAGCCATCAATGGAGGCAGAAAAAAGTGGACCCTGTTGTGATGGCAGTGGTTACACACGCTTTTTGGGTTGCAATAGCCTTTTCAGTTTGTTATGTTGCTCTTTGGTCACACTGTAATTCTTACAACTTTTATAGAGAGCAACCCAAAGTGCTAAGCTCTTTTCCACATTCTGTGTGCAAACCAGAGAGCTGAGATGCCTTTGTGTACAACAAGTTAGAAACACAGTTAGAAGGTACGTTTGTACAACACCTGATCTTATCTGTAGGTAAGAGAATGATTTTTCAGACTTGAGGCCTGCCTATCACATTCTTTACTATTTGATTACTGAATAAGTGTAATCATAATTCTAAACACATTTTGCCGTGCAAACATTTTCATTTCAATAAATGTCACAGTTTCAGGATAACATATTTGCTTTTTAAATTAAGAAAAATCTACTCTTTTATGCTAGAATGTCCATAACCACAATACATCTGGGCAGTTCCACAGCTGTAATGCATTCTTATAACTCTGCATATGAATGCCATACCTTGTCTTTGAGATCTTCAATTATCTTGTAATAGTTGCTGTAGTCCCGGGCTGGGCTGATGGGTGCTTGCTTCTGATACCAGTCTCGGATTTTAACTTCTAAATCCGAATTTGCCTCTTCCAGTGCTCGTACCTTGTCCAGGTACGAAGCCAGGCGGTCGTTCAGGTTCTGCATCGTTATCTTTTCATTTCCAGAGAGGAGGCCATCGCCACCACCAAAACCAGCACAAACATCATAACCTCCCCCAAAGCCAGCGCCCCCACCAAAGCCAGCACCCCCACCAAAGCCACAGGCTGCACCACCACCGAAGCCACTGTAGCCTCCTCCATACCCACCACCAAAGCCAGAGCACAGGCCCCCGCCATAGCCACCTCCTGCCGAGGAGACGTACCGAGCTGAGGAGATGGAGACACCCCTGCCACCAGATCCTCCATGGATGCTGGGAGCACGGCCGACTCCTCCCGCTCGAACTGAGGAGAGGCGAGTGCTGCCCCCTAAGCCCCCGCCGTAGGTAGAAGAAGAGCTCTGCATGAAGGTGGTGGCCATAGCTACAGCACAAGAAGCTTGTTCAGGTTAGCTCTTCAGCCTGGTAAGAGAGGAAAGTGTGTGCCCTCTCTGCCCAGCGCTGCTTTTATATGCTCAGACAGGGTGTGGAGACAAACCCCCTCTGCAGCCTCCCGCCAGAAATTCTCCTCCCTGGAGGTGAGGCCGATGGTGCTGACATCCCTCCCAAACAGCTGCCCGGGCATCTCCGGGGCCAGGCCCTGGGTTTCTTTTTGAATTAAACAAAAGGCATGATTCAGATGAGTGGTTTTTCTTCAGGCTATAGTTCTGAAACTTGGGAGTTTTCTTCTCTGACAGTTAAGAATGGAAAAACAAAGTGAGTTCAACCACACCCGCTGATCCATTTACAGCAGTCACCATGGTTGTTCCAAGAAAATCAGCTTTCTCTAAAAATGAAGTTTAAGTAAAATTCTTCTTTCATTGAAAAATGTACAATCATCAGCTCATCTCACCATTATTTCTTCTTTTCTAGCCATATTTTTTTCCCATTAAGACTTTGGAGTTGAATTTGAGATGTTATTCCTGTTCTTTGCTTAGAATTAAAATTAAGATTTTGGAGTCTGAAGTTTTAGTACAAAAAGCACGTAATCCTACCATTGCGTGAGGAACATTTGGCATCCATCGATGTACAAGGAAGAGTGGGCGCATCAGGTAGTTTACTAATGCTTGTGGAAGAGTCAAGACTGAAATAACTCAATTAAAAGAAGAAATGTGGGAGGACTGAGTTCCTGTTGCTTTTGGAAAACGTAAACAAATTTGGTTTAAAATGAGACAGTTCAGATAGCACTGAATGTGTTTAATGGCACTATGCTTATGCACTATGAAATGAACTAATTCTTGAAAACAAGATTTGAGAAGCACTTAGAAGTCATCTTAATCCTTCATTTCAAGTGGGAGTCTGACCACCACAGCATTTCAAACCCAATAGTTTGCCAGGGAAATCTGCGAGGCAGTAATTCAGTACCACAGCCCAGTTCAATACTGCACAGTCATGGGAAACCAGATTTGGGCGATTTTTAGGGAAGATTAACTGCTTGTTTACCCGGTGGGGCTGTGTCACCGGGGATAACTGTGGAGTGTGGCAATAGGTGGAGTGCAGAGGCAGAGCCCCAGTCCCTGCAGGGCGAGGTGACACTGCTCATTGAACGCCGCAGTTTCAGCTGAGGAAGCAGGGCCACGGCAGGCAGTGAATGGGTGCTGAGCACAGCAGTTTAGGGAAACTGGGGCTGAGAGGAGGGGGAAAAGCAGGGACCAAGTGAAGATGGGAGCAACTTCCTCTGGTCTCTAGTTCAGAACTGTGCCGAAATGACTGTAAAGTAAAACTGAAATAAAGTAGTAACATTATGATTGCTAACGACATAATAAGAAAAGTGTCGTGTTTAGCACAGTTTTTGACTACCTATAAACAGAAAATGGTCTTAGGATGGGTGATTTCAGGTAAACTGAGGCTCACAGCGGTTGCTGGAATAAACTGCGGGGTTTGCTGAAATTTACGGTTGAGATTTAATGCAGCCTCAGGGAAATGTGCAGCTTTTTACTCGGAAAAGGTGCATACGTGGGAGCAGAGGAACATCAAACTGTGGCTGTGGTGCACAGCTGCAGAGCCTGCTCTGAGATCGTCCCCTCCTTCAGCCCTTGGCGGGGACTCGGGGTTTCTTTGCTGTGGCAACTTGTTGCAAACCGAGCCTGGAGCTGTGCCACAGCCCCATTCGGTTCAGTTCTGCTGCGGGGCAGATTAATGGCTCAGCGCTGCTGCCAGCTCTGGCTATCGGAGTTAGCATCGCAGGAAACAAGTCGAGACAAAATCTCCTTAAGATAAAAGGATTTTTAAGACCCTTGTAATGTAAATATCCTGAGGTATGCGTGCTGCTAGGGGCTGTTTAACTCGGAGTGATCCCACAGTACGCAAGACCAAATTCCATTTAAAAAACGCAGGAAAGTTACTTCTAGAAAACACCATAAACTTAAACAGGAAACTTTGGGGATTTTTCATTGTCTTTCACTCAGTCTTTATAATTTCTTTGGAAGTTTGCTGGCGAAAGACACTTTCCTGCTTTTGAAAGTGCCGTGTGTGTTATTGCAGATTGTTATCAGACTAACACGTATCAAAACCAGGTAGCGAATACAAAGCTGTTTCTTTCCTGTAGAATATTTACCACTGGGACGAAGAAAAGTCAAGCGAGCAGCCAGTACAGATTATATCCTGTAAGGGAATTCAGAAAATCATAGTGGTGGAGCTTTGGAGGCTTTTTCAACTTTCTGTTCACCATCAAACTCAGGCCCTTAGGGTGTCCGCCCATGATCAAAAGCTTGCAAATGCAGAGAGCAGCGTTTACAGACCTGAGGCTTATCCCTGCCTTCATCTTCGCTGTTTGTTGTTTCGTGTTAAACAACTTCTAAACAGTTCCTAATGCTTCACTAGGAATTGTCAGCACTACTTTTCAGTACTATTTCAAGCTGTATTTATCCTCTTCTCACTGTCTTCACTGCAAGATTTCATGTCCAAGTCCTGACACCCTCCCATCCTTTGTCCCGAGCTCAGCATTGACCCTGTGGGCGCAGGCTGCTGCTCTGTCCTGCTGCCACACAGCTTTCCTGGCAGTGTCCCCTGCCGTGTCCCTGCCGTGCAGGCGCCGCTCCTGCCTCTGCTGCGGGATTGCGGAGCTGACGCACTGCACCTCTCCTGTGGGGAGGACACAGCGTCCCGGTCAAGAAGCAGCTTGTCTGTCATCGCAGGCATTGCATACCTTTAGAACACACGTTACTGAACCAAACTCTAAAATCATACTCTCTGGGTGATGTTATATTAAGCATTTCACCTTCATTACTCTACAAATACAGGACAAAATCAATAAAATTATAACCCAAAATTCAAACTCGGCTATGAGAACAAGAATTCTAGTCTTTTCAAGATTCTTTCAAGTCTCTGAAGCTTTCAATTTCTTTAGCAGGGTTCCTGAATTCATTCAATTCTTGGCACTTTTAATCTCTTAAACACTTTTAAACTGTTGACCTTTGAAACATCTTTTCTACGAATGCATTTAAATCAGTCATTGAAAATAAAGCTTTTTGGTCAAAATACACATCTGCAAATTGTCCTTATGAGTTGTATTGTTGGAGCACAAGAATTTCTTGTCAGACTTTCACATCTGCAGCTGTGTAACACAAGAAATCTGCACCACTAATCTCATACCCTGGTTTTGTCATGAGAACTTGCTCCCAGGGAATGGGATTTGTTAAGATTAAAAAGCAGACCCGGGGTTGTTTGTTCATTCCTCTGTGAGGGATTCCAGGTCCAGCTGTTGTCAGGAATAATTTGGTACAAAGCACTCATTAGCATGTGCCAGCACTTGGAGCAGCCTGTGCTGAAGCGTTCAGTGCACAAGAGCTTCCTCCTCTGTGTTCTCCCAAAAACAGGTGCCACAAAACCGGGGGAGCTCCTGCTTCCACCTCACTTGTTTCCACCAGAGCACCATAGTCCCCTGTTCCCCCCATCTTGTCTTCTTTTCTGCATCTCTGCCGATCCTTACTTTTTGTAACTGTGTTTCTTTCCTGTCGCAGTGAAGCCACTGCTGGTGCCGTGCTGGATTTGCAGGGGCTGTGCTGGGGCTGTCTGTGTCAGTGCTGGGCAGCTGATGGTGACAGCTCAGCTCCCCTGAGTCATTGCTCACCCAAAAGCAGGCCCCAGCGTCTCTGATTGAAGACGGTTGCCCAACCCTGACAGAGGAATCACAGAATCACAGCACGTTAGGGATTGGAAGGGACCTCAAAAGCTCATCCAGTCCAATCCCCCTGCCGGAGCAGGAACACCCAGATGAGGTTGCACAGGAAGGCGTCCAGGCGGGTTTTGAATGTCTGCAGAGAAGGAGACTCCACAACCTCTCTGGGCAGCCTGGGCCAGGGCTCTGTCACCCTCACTGAGAAGAAGTTTCTTCTCAAATTTCAGTGGAACCTCCTGTGTTCCAGTTTGTGCCCATTACCTCTTGTCCTATCATTGTTTGTCACCAAGAAGAGCCTGGCTCCATCCTTGTGACACTCACCCTTTAAATATTTATGAACATGAATGAGGTCTCCCCTCAGTCTCCTCTTCTGCAAACTAAAGAGACCCAGCTCCCTCAGCCGCTCCTCATAAGGGAGATGCTCCACTCCCTAGCTCCACTCCTTAGCTCCACTAGGAGCTCCCTAGCTTTGAGATGCTCCTCGCTGTACAAACACTCCATCAATATATACTCATAGTTATGAGCAAGAGTGAAATAATTCCTCGCTGCCAAGTCCAAGGAGAGAAGTGCTGAAGGATTTGGTGATGTCTCCCTGAAGCCCAGGGTGCGAGGTGACCCAAGCTGTGGGAGTGCAGTGTTAGGTCCTTTCAGTGTGGGCATACTTGCGCTTGAATTTCAGCTAACTTGTGCCTTTGTGGCCGTGGGAGGTGGGAATGGGAGAGTTAAGCTATAGTCGTGAGTTTCTTTGAGCACAAACCCTGAAAATTTCCTTGGCTGTAAGCTTGCAGAGCGATGGTTGGGATGGAAATTACAGATTTCTGGGGGCCTGAACTAAAAGTGATCACATTCAGAATTTTGCCCAGGATGATATCCTTTCACTGACATGAAGCTGTTTTTCACTCCTGTTTGTTTCTGTAGGAGTTACTTTTGGGCCGTTTTAGCAGTTTTATCTTGTACCCTAACAAAACATCTCCCAACATCTCCCTGCCACTGCTCTTGGAAGTGCACAGCTGCTGTGGTTAGAGCCGTGGGTCGTTCTGTGTGGTGCTGATGCTGACGCTGATGCTCCCTGCTCAGGGCCCAGCCCGCACCAGGAGCCAGAGGACATCAGCCATGGAGCTCAGGCCACCCCTGCAGCACAGGGACATTGACCCCTGGCTGGAGACTTCCTGCCTGATGAAACCTCAGTAACAGTATCCCAATAACAAAGAGAAGTTAAAATTATAAGAAGATCATCTTTATTAGAGCAGATAGAGCAATTCAGTACATGAAAGAACTAGAAAGAATTGAAAAGTGAACCCAATTTGTAAATTAATCACCACTAAGTAGATTAATCTGCCTAAACTTTGTGTGGCCAAGAATTTTCAGTGCTTTAAGACAGTAATTTCCAGCAGTTTACAGTGATTCCTTTCTGTTTCGATTCCTGTGTGTTGTCTGCTTTTTCTCATTTTGGAGATTACATTTGGAGGACTTTCAGTACTACTTTGCATCTGCCAGCTTCTCTCTTTTGTCTACAATAACACGGAGAGAAAAACAGCAATTACTTGAGCAGAACAGACATGAGACAACTCTGCAGTGGGTGCTGCGCGTACTTCATGTCTCTTCTCAGAAGTTTTCTTTGTCAGAGCACTGACTTGAATCATACATCACTTTTACAATACAGCTGACCTTTAACAGCTCAAGGCAAGTTCTGCTTGCATGTTCATACAGTTCCCCTGAGCCGGCCAAACTTAAATTTCTTGTATCCTTTCATCTGGGGGAATGATTAAGCATTTTGTGCTTTATTTAGCCTTTGCTGTAGTATAGGCTAAGATCTTTTACTGATGTCTGACATCTTCTAATGAGTGAAACTTGTTACATTCTAGCCAGAGTCATAATTAGTTAAATATTTGATTTTTGTCCTGTGACAGACATCAGTGCAGCAGCCCAGTCGCTAAAACGGACACCACTACCGTAAGGTACATGTATTTCCTTTTAGAAAATAAACTTCTTTGACTCCTAAAGGTTTCCTGAAAGAGAACAAACTCTTACCATCAGTTCCAGAAAGGGAGCCAAAGGTCCTGCAGAACAAAGAGAGAACGGTTGAGAGGAGAGGAAACACATCAAGTGCTGTGAGATGAGGATGTATGAAAGGAAACTATCGCATACATTTTGTATACAGTCACACAAGAGGCGGTCGTCTCCTTGCTCTCCCTCTCACCTCAGGAGAGGGAATTGTAGCAAATGTATTTTTAAACAACAGCCGTGGGAAAAGACAATAGTGGAAAAAAAAAAGAATAGAGGAAATCAAAACCTTTCAGTTCCTACCTCGTTTTTTTGTTCAAGGCTACGAGATATTTTGCTCCTTGAGGCTACATGTGGAATGGCAGGCAGCTGTGCTCCCTTGTGGGAGGTGCACTGAAAACAGCCACCTCGCCTGCCTTGAGATGTTCTTCTATGCTGGTTCCTATGAGGCAGGTTACTTACTGCGACTCCTGCCCTTCCAGGAGCTGTCGGTACGTGGCGATCTCCTGCTCCAGTCGAACCCTGACGTCCATGAGGGCTTTGTACTCCGAGTTCTGGCGGTCCATGTCACCTCGGATCTCCGTCAGCTGTGCCTCCAAGCCGTCGATCAGCCCCTGCATCTGCGCCAGCTGGGCGCTGTAGAGCGCCTCCGTGTCTGCCAGGTTGCGTTCCACCGCGGCTTTCTGTGAGCACAGGGGTGCAGGGGAACCACAAAAGAGTTGCTCCCAGGCACAAGGCTCCTCATAGGAGGGAGAATAAGGACCTGTTTCCATGGAGAGGGTTCATGCAGTGCAGATTTTAACGTACCAGGCTGAGCTGGGACTGAAGTTCCACTTCCAGTCCTTGCAGGGTGCGTCTCAGGTCCGTGGCTTCGGATCTGCTGCTCTCCAGTTGTTCCGTATTGGCAGCTACTTTGTAGTTCAGCTCTTCAGTCTGGAACAGCAAAAACATTGCATGAGAAATATGGGACCTCCAAGTAGAGGTCATGAGGCTTTCACAGCAGTTGTCTGTTTTAATAATTATTTTGTTTCTTTCATGGATTTTTTGGTTAGTATTTGTATAGTCTGGAGTTCTTCCTACCTTGCTGTGGAACCAGGCCTCAACGTCCTTCCTGTTCTTCTCTGCCATGTGTTCATACTGCTCTCTCATATCGGCCAGGATCCTGGACAGGTCAATGCCTGGAGCAGAGTCCACTTCAACATTGACTTGCCCAGCTACTTGTCCTTGCAGGGCACTCATTTCCTATGTGGACAGGGCAGAGAGAGACAAAAGAGGGCACAGTCATGAACTGAAAACATTACAAACCTTCCATTCCTTCTTCAAGGGCTGAGGTCTGACTGAGTCCCCTCAAACACTTGCAGTTTCCCAGTCTACACAGAAATCTTTACTGTTGGAGAGCCCAGGGCAATCTCGAGAGACTCCACATTTCCACACACTGTTCTCTTGTCACTTTTAAATTAATTTCTTGGGGCTCTCACCTCCTCGTGGTTTTTCTTTATGTAGGCCAGCTCCTCCTTCAGGTTCTCGATCTGCAGCTCCAGGTCAGCCCTGGCCAGGGTCAGCTCATCCAGGACCCGGCGCAGGCCGTTGATGTCGGCCTCAACGCTCATGCGCAGACCTTGCTCTGTTTCAGACCTTAAAAAAGCAAATCAGAACTGTTCAGGTTAGCTGGTTAAGCTCTTTGCTATGAATGTATCTGGGTTTGTAGGATTTATGATGTAGCAAATGTTCAGCACTAAACTATTCTCCACGTATTTTATATTTTATATTTTATATTTATATAACATTTTCCGTGATGTGGATGGTGCTTTCGGCAAGCACATAAAGGGCTGAGCTGCAACGACAGGATCAAACTAGTGTTCATACAGAGATTTTATGGGCATTCATATTTTGTCACATCCGCTGCTCTTTGGCTCAACAAGGATTTTGCCTGCCCAAGAGACCTTTTTCCTTTCAGACATCACTCACTTGGTTTTGAAGTCGTCGGCAGCCAACCTGGCGTTGTCGATCTGCAGGACGGTCTTCGCGTTGTCAATAGTGGCATCGAGGATCTGCAAAGAGATTGATTCCTCAAATGCATCAGGAAGGCCCCGAAAGGAAGTTTTGTTTATTTACAAGTAACCCCTGTTCATTTTTACCTAGAGAGCATCTCTTTTTTGTCTGCCACTTTTTAACTCAAAAGTTCATCCGCAAAAACAGCTGGAACAACATTTTCTCTCCCCTAACTAAGGGGAGTAAAAGATGGGGGTAAAGGAATACTCAAAGGAGAAAAATCTCCTTGCCAGTTCTGCCTCTCCTGGAGCTCAGTGGAGCATGGGAATGAGCTGAGGCAAGGAGAAAGTCAAACTGCGTGGGAGCGGTCATGAACTCTGAGCTGAACTGTGAAAACCAAACCTCAAGTTTTCTTTCATCTGTTTACACAGTCTAATCAGCCGCTACCTCTGTTTCCAGGGTGTGCATCACCTCTGAGCAATCTGTTGTCAGGTACCCATGGGCTGTTGGGGCAAATCCTGCATTTATACAGGGGATTAATTCACGTCTGCTACTTCCTTTTTCCATAAGCCAGATGTTTCAGCACACATATTGCAATTCCAAGCGTAAGTAAGTGAAATGTGAAAGGAAATTAAATGTATGGTGATGAAATCTTGAGCTGCCATCTATACATGCACAAAATTGTACTAAACCAATTTTTGTTCTACCATTAAAGCAGTGTGTGTGTGTGCTTCTGGAGTTTTTCAAGCTCTATGGCAGGTAACAGATGACAGAGGTAGGCAGGTTGCTGTCACTGGTTGGCTCTCTTTTTATTTATCAGTATATAGATATGGTCATATATATATTAACTGGTCATATGTGTGTATATGACCAGCATGTGTGTACATGTGTGTGTGTGTCTGTGTGTATGTGGAGAATTAAGTACCAAGGCATCTCAGACTGACTGTCCTGTACATTCTCTTAGCTAACATTTTAAAAAGTAGATAATTCCACACTGATCATTCTCTTTATCCACTCTGCCCAATCCTTGTGTATTCATTTCATCTTCCTCTCCTTTATGAATAAACGGCAATGCCTTCTGGGTGTTTTCCTGGTGAAGTTTTTCTCTTTGGGTTTCTATGCATCCTTCTCAAGTGCAAATCTAGGATGGATTTTAGTAAATATTGACACCTACCTTGTCTCGCAGGTCTTCGATAGTCTTGTAATAAGAGTCATAGTCCCGAGCTGGGCCTGGTCCTTTTTTTTGGTACCAGTCTCGGATTTTAGTTTCAAGATTGGAGTTTGCCTGTTCCAGTGCCCGCACTTTGTCCAGGTAGGATGAGAGGCGTTCGTTGAGGCTTTGCATCGTTGCCTTTTCATTTCCCGAGAGGAGGCCATCGCCGCTCCCCAGACCAGCGCCGTAACCACCACTAAAGCTGCTGCTGAAACTGCTGCCGTAGCCACCACCCAGGCCGCTGCCTAGGCCAGAAGAGACAAACCTGGCGGAAGAGACTGACACACCCCTGCCACCAGATCCCCCATGGATGCTTGGGGCCCTAAAGCAGCCTCCACCAAAACGGACGGAGGAGCCACCAGGTCCCCCCGCCACAGAAGAGGCAGTTTGCCTGAAGCTGTAAGCAGCCATGGTAAGGAATGGCAAGGACCTAAGCCAAGCTGCAGCTCGCACAGCGCAGGCTGCGATCAAGGCAGGAGGGAGTGCTTCGTTCCCCCACCCCACCTCTTTTATGCGGGTGACAAAGGGAGTTGTCTCCAGACCGTGTTATCTGAGACCTGGAATTTGTCAGCCCAAGCCTCCTGCCAACACGGCACTTCCTCCCATTGGTCAGTGGCTCTGCAGGGGCCGAGGTACCTTCCCAAATACCTTCACGCACAGCAGCTTCCCTCCCCTGCCCGCTTCCTCCTGGAGCAAGAGGTGGGTTTTGGAGGAGGTGTCTCCTGCTGAGGGGAGCGTTCCTGGCTCTGGTTATGTTTTACCTGTGTGGAAACAGGGGCTGGGAGCGCACAGCCCTGCTGCAGCCAGCGCTGCGGCCAGAGTGAAGGCACATGATGACTTGCTGCGTGTAATCTCAGAAATTAATTAGTAATTAGTATTACTAATTAGGTTAGTAATTGTAGACTGATAACAGAGCTTGAAAGGAGCCCAAATGGTGAACAATATGCATGGACCTTGACAAAACAGGTCCCCTGTGTTTTCCTTATTCCCCTTGAGAAGAGTTCTCCTTTCAGCAGTGTCATTTTCACTGCTCCTTTCTTTGGGCTGACAGTGGAAGAGAGGGGCTGACAGAGAACATGCCCTGTCTGAAGGAGTCTGGTTTTCTACCAAAACAAGAAGCCTTTTCAAGGAGCTGTAGCTGGATTTGTAGCAGAGATAAGCCCTGAGTACCTGGGGAGCGAGCAACAGCAGAAAGCAGTGCCTGATTGCACATCTAGTCCTTTCATTGCTACTGAAAGAGATAAGTGAACAGCAGGAGAGTAATCACGCAGTCTTCTGGTCTTTGAGAGTCATGAGAATGTTACTGCTAAAATCATTAAATCTTCTGTTAGCTGAGATGAATTTTCAAAAGCAACATTGCTTTTGTTACTGCAAGCTCCTCCATGCACATCCCCAGCAGAGAGTGGATACTCTCATCTTCTCCTCCATTCTCTCTTCCACTTGTCACCCCTCGCTCCCCAGCAGAGCTGCTCCAAAGAAAAAGGATGTAAACCGGTGTTGGCAGCTGCGAGGGACCAGGCCTGGGCAGAAATTGTGCCACCTGCAAGTGCTTCCACTAAAGAGAGCCTCTGGAGCACAAGGTGCGTTTGGTGATGCTTCCATGAGAAATCCACTTAATATGAAAAAGAGGGATTAAAGATAAGCATACTGTGTTTGAGGGGCTTTCTATAGCCGTAAAAATGCAGCAGGTGTTTCAGACCACATGTTAGTGGTGTTCTCACTTTGTACAGAGAAACGTTGAACTGCAGGGCAAATACAGGGAGGGGAAAAGAACAAATATCCCATCTGGGAGCTGGCCAAGGCACCTGCATCAGCAGCCCCGCTGCTCTGTCTGTAGTTGTGAGGCTGCATCACAAAGAGTTCTGCAGTGACAGGCACAGGATACATCACTTGGTGTATACAATATATGTACCATGCATTTCCTGACTGGGGAGCTGTAGCCTGGGGGCATCACAGCTGAGTTCTCTCCTCCTATACTCACCCAGCTCTGTCTCGCAGTGCTGCTACGCAGCCCTTCCCAAGAGATGTGAAGGACACTCCTGGCTGCCAGAGACCAGAGCTGTGCTGGCCGTCCCCTCTCCAGACCTGAATGTTCTGTTCAGCCCCGGGCAGGAGAAACCTGCCCAGCAGGAAACTGCTCCAGGGCTGTGAGCAGGGAAATAACAGGGTCAGCGTTACAGACTGCCTGCACACAAGAGAAGAGCCTCAGAGGAAGAGTTATTTTAGTGTTGAATATTCAAGTCCATAGTTTGAGCATGAAGAACACAAGTCCATGTGCTTTTCCTCACTGAACAGAAGTGCAAGAAGCTCAAAGGAGAGCAAAGAGAGCAAACCCTGGTGTATTTTGGTGTGTCTCCTGCTTCAAGGAGAGGGGAACATCCTTCTTTCCAGGAACCCCTTCATCATCCCCTAGACTCCCATGTCAGGACCTCAAAGCAGTGTATTTTGCAGTTTTGCAAGATAAAATGCACATTTATGATGCTGCATAGTATTTTACGATCCATTTTATGAAAATGCAGGTCTAGAAAGCCTTTGCATTCCCTCTGAAACCCCTTGAGTAAAAGCAGCAATCATCACATATGATACTGTAAGAACATTGCTCATGTACTGCAAGCAGGTTGGGTTTGCTTCAACATACAGGGAAAAGTTTCCCAAAGAATGAACTGCAATTCTTCGTGGCAGTTTGGAAATACACTGAGAGTGTCAGGAGAGGAAATGTCAGATAGAGTAACTGTTTAATCTTATTTACTCTACCAAATATATCATAAGATTCTAATATCAGAGAGTCTCTCATGCAGCATTTTTACTAAAACTGCATTCTAAGTTTCCAGAAAGGTTTTGAATTTCTTTTAACTTTACATCTCTGTCTTACCTCAGTGGCTGCGTGTGTTTGGTTTTGGTGGAACTCCCTTAAGGTGATAACACGGACTTCGGTGCTTGGAAAAGCCTTTGGTATGGCACAGTATTTGCTCAAGAAATAAGGTGCTTTTATCGTTCTGTGCGGGTCCTTTTTTCTCCCTCTGCAACAAACTTTATTTATGGCAGGGCCTGCTTTTCCCTAAGGGAAAGATAAGGAGTGGTCAGCCAAGGGGATTTCCTTTATCTGCAGCCTATCTGAGGGCAGTGGAGACACAGTCATTGCAGTGGAGCCATCGGAGGCTGCGGGGGATGGCCCACACCCACGCTCCTGCCTGGGACCTGGCTCTGCCTTTCCTCTCCCTGCTCTGCTTTACCATCACTGCCCTTTATAATGTGGCTCCTATTGTTTCAAGGTATTTTTATTAATTGGCCTGTAAATGATTTTTATTGCCCTTGAGTGACACAGGCATATACTTCACTCTCCTCACACCCTGCTAAATTTCCCTCCAGAGATTGCTAATGCAATTACAATTAAATGAACTCTCTGAACATTTTAACCTACGTTATTGGTGTCTGCAATGCCCCGGATGCTTCTGTGGACCAATGAGCAATGTCAGGTTATTATTCTGAATTTACCTTTTAAATCTCTACGTGTTTGTCCCTTCTGATAATTCTTCCTTTCTACCTCTGCTTCTGTCACTGTGAATGTGCTTCTAGACTCTTCTGTATACACATTTTCGGTCTCCATCTCTTCTCTTGCTGTCCCACCTTCCTGATCATGTTGAGTGCCCTCTTAAAACCACAACTTTGTATATTTTTCTCTCCTATTGAGGTTCACAGGCAGGAAACATTTCAATCTCTTTAACACAAGCACAGTTTTTTCTATTTTTTTCTTTAAACTTCCTTGTGCAAGAGCCAATGATAACAAGACCTGATCTGCAGCTGGTGCTGGAACGGCTGTGTTGAATGTCTGCCTAGGAGACAGTTAGTTCTTACCGTTCTCCCATCATTAATCATTTTTTTCATACTCACAAACCTTACATTGCCGCATGTTCACTAAACGTGCCAACAGATTCAGAGACAAGAAGGTGTTGATGCGGCAAAGGCAGGTCGTGGCACATGCAGGCACAGCTGTTCCCAGTTCTAAAAGGGGGTTGATAAGAGCAGAGAGCAACACTGATAACCTTCTCAGAATTACCACTTTTGCAGAGTAGTGGGAATGTGACTTAGTGAAGAGAAATGCACGTGGGTGCTCCGGTCACTGCATTGAAAGAGATGAGAAATAAGATCATGTAAGGGTCCAGTTGGAAAAGGAATTTTGAGATTAAGAGGCAGGGAACTCGGTTTTATCCAGGGCTCTGGTTCTTTCATGGTGGAAAAGAAATGAACATTCAGTGATTTGAGCTGAGCTGGAAAGATACGGATCCCTGTCCAGCGACAGGCTTCATTAGTGAGATTGCGACACTTAATTTAATTATTTCTCGATGTTTGGCATTTATATGATATTTGAATAGGTTAGTATGAGGAAAATACATAAAAAATCATGAACTCCTCAAACGCTTAAATAGCTGAGAGCAATGTAAATACTTGGCAAACGCTTGAAACTGGATGTGGTGTGTGCTTTTGGAAACACCTCAGTATTGTCTCTGCTTTCCCAGAAAGATAAACAGCTTTAAAAGTCTGGAGTTGACTTCTCTGTCAATCCAGAACTACAATGATAATGCACATCAGGGAGCACAGTACCTGAGGTAGGAAAACAAACGAGATTTTCTTACAGCGTGATTAAAACTTGTCTGGGAAGAAGCGATCGGACAGGACACCAGGCCCAGTCACTGCGTGTATTTTTGCACTTCCTCTGCCCTGTTATCTGTGGTAAATCTCAGCAGGGGATGCCGGGGCTGGAAACTCTTACAGAGCCAACGTCTCAACTGGCAGAGGACGTGTTCCAAAAGTCAGGTTTGTGCAGGCAGCAGTGAAGAGCAGCCAAAACCAACCCCAACGGACTGCGCCTGTCCTGGGGTGTGGAGCAGCCAAGTGACTGCTCTGCAACCAAGGTGTCACCTCTGCCATGGCCCTGCTGACGGGGGGCCAGGCTCCGCAGAGGACATTTCCCATGGGACACATGGAAAGGTCCTGCTCGAAAGCAATCCCAGGCTTGGTGGAAACACGGAGTAGCTGGGTTTGGCAGCACGAGGGAGATGAGCTGTTTCATTCTGCTGATGTCTGTAAAACATTTGGAGAGCGTATTTGTAGTGGTACGATTGATGTTTATGTGCTCAAACCACAGCTTCCAGCAAGGGCAGAGGCTTTACTGTGCAAGCATTAAACACATGTTCCTCATCAGATTAAAAACAAGGAGCTCTCTTTGGGCCCTGCTGATGGGTTCTATCAACTGGACTTGGGCTTTCCTGCTCCTGCGGGCGGCTTCATCCTGGTTTTCACGTGAGAGAGATTTCCAGAGTGTCCAGGTCTCTGTTAGGCTCGGTGAGAAAACCAAACTCTGTATTGCTGAACTGTATGAATTTTTTGGTACTGCCGTAATTTTTTATTGT